TTTAAACATTTGGAAATAATGGTTTCATAACTTAATGGGAATGTTAGCTAAATTTTCTTACATTCTTAAAAATGAAGGTTCTGTTTTGGCATCTAAAGTTCTATGAAGAACCTTTAACATCTATGGAACCTTTCCATTCCACAAAACGTTCTTTATAGTGAGGTGGGGTGAAATCTATACACTCTTAAAAAAATAAAGGTTCCAAACGGGTATAGTGATGAAATAGAAGAACCATTTTGGGCTCCCAAAAAGCCTTCGGTCAGTTCTTAAAAGAACCATTTCTGTTTTTCCTAGTGTGAAGAACATTTGAATAATCTAAAGAACCTTCTTCCACTATAAAGAACCTTTTGTGTAATGGAAAGATTCCAGGGATGTTAAAGGTTCTTCACGGAATTAGATGCAGATAAAGAACCTTTATTTTTAGGAGTTAGGAATCATATACAGTGTAACTGCTAAAAATAACTGTCAATGTACAACATGCAGGTATTTCTAGTATAACCAAGGGTGTAAAGGAATGTTATCCAGGCAGTCTGTGACAGAATTCCTGCTTTAAAAAAATCCGGTCTTGGCCTGGACTCTATAGAGTTAGACTGAGGTCTGTTCCAGATATCCAGAATGAGAGAAAAACAATTTTTTTTTTTTCCAAATAAATGCAGCCTTGTTGGGCATAAGAGACTTATTTCAAAAACATAAAAAAAATCTTACTGACCCCACACGGTAAAGTGTATGTGTGAGTAAAAGTGTATATTTAAGTGTTTATTTTATATTTTCAGATTTTTATTTGACTGTTATTTTTTAAATTTAACTAGCCATACAGTGCAGCAAATGAAATAAAAGCTGTATGTGTAATAATTCTTTAAAAAAAGAGTACTGTAGAGTATATAAATTCTGCAAGTTAGATGTGTGTAGTAATGTTTTGACCTTTGACCTCCAGCTGGCCCACAAATATGACCCAAATAAGGAGGAGGAGCTAAGATTGTGGATCAGCGAGGTCACAGGCCGTAAACTTCCCGAGAACTTCATGGAGGGGCTGAAAGACGGAGTAATACTCTGCGGGTGAGTGATGCCCTGATTCATTCAATCTGTAGCTCATTAACAGCTATGAAGTTCAAATAACAGATTATTCAAAGGATGTTAATCAGTCACTCGTTTTTACATGTTTATTTTTTATGAGCAGGCTTATCAACACTCTTCAGCCCGGTTCTGTTAAAAAGATCAACAACTCTCCTCAAAACTGGCATCAGGTGAGGAAGAATATCACATTTGCAAGCATATCTGCTTGTTCCAGTTCAGGTCCAGCAGGAGGCGCTGACACGATGAAATGTGATCTGCACTAGGAACAGTGTTGCCAAGTCCGCCGTTTCCCCGCGGAACTGGGCTACTTTAACACTGTTGCCGCGGGTTGTTTTTCGTGTCTGCGGGTTGAAGCGAGATTGGGCGGGTTTTCTTGTGAAAACCTGGCAACCCTGACTAGGAATCATAGGAAATGCTTCCTGTCTTCAGTATTTATACTTAGGTTAAACAGTCATTTTAGAAGAAATTTACAGTCATATGAAGAGCCTGACAGTTTGGCATGAAGAAAGTTCAGCCCATAGTTTAGATGTTTGAGTGAAAACCAAGTAGTAAAACACTTTGGAGGCCTTAAAGGTCCCCTGAAATGCTTAAAAACACTATTGATACTAACACCCAAAAAACTTTAATTTTGATTTCATGGGGACTTTAATGTGGGATGAGACAGAAATCAATAACATATTTCAGGTATTTTTTGGTTTCTATATTCAAAAGTTACATGGAATTTACACAGTTACGAGTTCTTTGCGAAATAGAATGCTTGTGTCATTCATAAAATCTAATAACCGCTGATCCTCTGTTCCAAATATAAAGGGTTTCTGGTGCTGAACATTGTTCCTTTGGAATCAGTTGTGCATACTTTCAGATTTTTCAGTTTATGTCCGTTTATTCTTGGTTTGGCCTTGTTCGTTGCAGCTGGAAAATATTGGTAATTTCGTCCGAGCCATTCAAGAGTATGGACTGAGGCCACATGATATATTTGAGGCCAACGACCTGTTTGAGAACGTCAACCACACTCAGGTCCAGTGCACGCTTATTACACTGGCTGGGATGGTGAGTCACACATTATGAGTTTCAATACAGAAATGATAAGGACTAACTCCGGACTGAAGATTAAGAACTTCTGTAATATTCATACTTTTTATCTACATTTCGAAAGTTCACAGTAAGGAGATTCATATGGGAGTGTTTAACTGTTAGCAGAGAGATTAACATCAAAACATGTGGTATTTGAGCTGCATGATCAGTCGTTTTTCCACAAACCAACAGTCAAGCAAACACCAAAAAAGGAATCTCTCTTCTCTTTGTGTGTTCAACATATACGAAGTTACTTGCACACGTTTGTTACTATTTCATATAAAAAAACATCCTATACTTCCACTTCTTAAGTGTAAAATGTCTGGTTGCTTTATTATTTACGTACTTGTATTAATTTGTCATTATTTTGAAATGCAGGCGAAGTCTAAAGGCTTCCATTCTAAATACGACATTGGAGTGAAATACGCAGAGAAACAACAGCGCAAATTTGCTCCTGAGAAACTAAAGGAGGGACGCAACATTATTGGTCTGCAGGTCAGTAGTTGTTCATCAGTAATGCCTTTTTCTTTGAATATAAAAATAAATGAAATAAGGGTTAAATTAAAGCCTTATGCATTGGAAAACTAATTCTAACAATGCCTGTTACTGTGATTTTATCAAATCAAATTAAATTCAATGGTAAGCATTATATATTATCATATTAATATTATTTTATATATACATATCTTTATATTTATTTACATTTTATTTTGATGTATGTATTAAATATTGTTATGTTTTATATTTATGTTTTTAAAATTATACACTACTGTTCCAATGTTTTATTTTAAAGGAATTATTACTTTTTATTCAGCAAGGATACATTAAATTGATTGAAAGTAAAGCCATTTAAAATGTTACAAAAGATTTCTTTTGAACTTTCTATTCATCAAAAATCCTGAAAAAAAGTGCCACGGAAATATTAAGCAGCAAAAACCTTTTTCAATATTGACAATAAAGATGAATGTTTCTTAAGCAGCCAATCGGCATATTAGAATGCTGAAAATTCAGCTTTGATCACAGCACTAAATTACATTTTAAAATATATTCAAATAGAAAACAGTTATTTTAAATTGTAATAAAATGTCACAATATGACTGTTTTACTGCATCAGATAAATGCAACCCTGGTGTGGCTTCTTTCAAAAACATTACATTTTTAATTAACAAAAAATGTTCAATTATTCCAAACCTCTGACCCATAGAGTAACAGTAGTGTATGTTATATAATTGTCAGGACATTCTTTATCTATATCATTTCCCCAGTTCTTTTTCTTTTCACTCTTTTGCATTTTCAGATGGGCACCAATAAGTTTGCCAGTCAAAAGGGCATGACGTCTTATGGCACACGGCGTCACCTCTATGACCCTAAGACGGGGATGGAGAATCCTCTGGACCAATCAACAATCAGCCTGCAGATGGGCACCAACAAAGGAGCTAGTCAGGTGCTCAAAACGGTTTTATAATCACGCTCTTATTGTTTTACAATTCCTAGTACTGTTCGTGAATTGCACAAATTGTTGCTTATTTCTTTTCTGTTTCCTCTTCTGCAGTCCGGCATGACGGCCCCCGGCACCAAGCGCCAGATCTTCGATAAGAAGCTGGACATGGAGATGTGCGACACCTCTATCGTCTCGCTGCAGATGGGCACCAATAAAGTGGCGTCCCAGACCGGCATGACGGTGTACGGTCTGCCGCGTCAGGTGTACGACAGCAAGTACTGCTCCAGCCCTATTGATTACATCAACAACGGCCAGGACTCAGAGATGGATGGATATCAGGATTCCGACTAGGATGAACAGACAGCTGCCAGCACACTGCTTTTTAAAAGCTCACCTGCACTCTTTTTGATATTCCAAATTCATGTTGACCAGTAGGAGCAGCTTGAACTGTTTCCTGACATCACAGCCACCGATCAAAGCTGAGAACCTTCGTAGAAAACAAGCTTTTCTACTTTTCTTTTTTTACATACAGGCTTTTCCTGCTTCTCACTTTGTAGTTTTAATATGATGAATTTTTCAGTTTTATTTTATTGTTATTTTGAGTGTGCAATTCTCCCATCAAACCTGCATGGTCAGATTTTCTCATATGAAAAAATAATGCAGATGATAAATATGGATATATTATTTATGATGCCTCATAGTTACATATACACTACTGGTCAAAAGTTTAGAATCATTTAGATTTCTTAATGTGTATTAAAAGCAGTCTCTTATGCTCACCAAGGCTGCATTTATTTGATTAAAAATACAGTAAAACAATGAAATATTATTTCAATTCAAAACAACCGTTTTCTATTTGAATATAGTGTAAAATGTAATTTATTTCTGTGATGCAAAGTTGATTTTTTTTAGCATAATTACTCCAGTCTTCAGTGTCACATGATCCTTCAGAAATCATTCTGATATGCTGATTTGCTGCTCCGTTATTATCAGTTATTGGTGCTCAGTTGTTAATAATGGTTCTTATTATTACCATGTTTTTGCTGCTTAATATTTTTGTGGAAACTGTGATACATTTATTTGAAATAGACATCTTTTGTACATTATAAATGTCTTTACTGTCACTTTTGATAAATTTAATGGATCCTTTCGGAAAAAAAGGTTTAATTTCTTTAAAACAGCAAAAACATTGTTTTCAACATTAATAGTAAGAAATGTTTCTTGAGCATCAAATCAGCATATTATACTAATTTCTGAAGGATCATGTGACACTGAAGACTGGAGTAATGATGCTGAAAATTCAGCTTTGATCACAGGAATAAACTACATTTTTAAATATATTCAAGTGAAAAAAAAACAATTATTTTAAATAATAATATTTCACAATATGACTATATTTTTACTATATTTCTGGTCAAATAAATGCAGTCTTAATGAGCACAAAAGACTTTTAAAATGATATCTTAATTATTCCAAACTTCTGACCCATAGTGTAATTTAAGTGGATTTGGTCACACCAGCAGCTTTTATGGTGTGCACATTTTAATAGGTTCCATGATGCTTTTTTAATTGGATGGAGGAAGAGGAAATCCACCAAAGATGCCCCACTACTGCCAATTTCCTGAAGAAACTTGGATGAACTTAACCTAACTACTGCATCTAGGAGATTGTCTGGGTTTTGGCGTTTAACTATAAGCTTCAAAACAACGTTTAAATAATGTCGATTTTGCATAATTGTTTGAAAAGGTGTTAACCCTGCTCCAACACACCTGCTTGTAGTTCTCAAGCAATTCCGAAGGTGTTGATTAGCTGGTTCAGATGTGTTAAATAGAGCTGCAGGAACCAAGTTAGAAAGCCCTGCCCTTAAACGCTGACTCACTGACAGGAACGCTATTGGAGGATGTTGATCCAGGAGCTGGGGTAAACACAGTAAGCTTCTTCATTCATCATACTAAGAAAATGAGAAATCCAAAATGGCCAGAGGTTCTAAAATCTCAAGGTTTCAGAGATGTCTTTTGTAGTACAGAATAGTATTTCATCAAGCTACAGATGGTCCACAAAGCAGTTCATCTACATTCTTTTAATAAATATAATACAGTGCAGTTGTTTAAAGATATTTTATAATTAATTAAGCTAGTATTATGACTGTTTATAGGGAGGATTTGGGGCAGTCTGGCCAAAAATATTTCAAAACTTTTTTTGATTCAGTTTATCCTTTATAAAAGTAAATCGACATAGACAAATAGAGAACTACTGTTAACATTTTTTTTCATTACCTAATCATACTGTGAAAAATCATGTGAACCAAAACTGACTTAAATTGCAATGGCACTTTTTTTTTTTTTTTTTTTTAGAAAAATGACTGTCTCTCCGAAAGACTATATAGGAATGCTTCCGTAAACTTGCATATATGCGAGCGTTATTTTAGCCTGCCAAACCTGATACTCAATTATCAAAGCGACCGATCATAACACAAGCAAGACCTGCTCATGATTTAGGATGGTTGGGAGTCTACATATAAAATAAGTTTTAATGTGCAGAGTTAATATATTTAGCTATTTTAAACTAAATAGTTTTGACATGACTAGATTTCGCCTCATCATGTAATTCAGTTATTGAAAATATTACAGATTTGTATATTTCATTTATATATCGTTGTGTGTGTTAAGGAATGTCATTGTTTTGCATTGCCGCTGGGAACAGCCGAACACAAGATCATAAAACAGTGAATCTCTCTTTTGTTGATGTAGCGTGTCCCTCTTGCATCAATGCTTCTAATGTCTTTATTTATGAGGCTTACCAACAATGGCTGAGCAAGTGAAAAACTAATAAATCACTATTTTCAAATGATTTGTCTTTATTTTCATGAAACGGAAATGTTTGTAACATTACATTTTAACCGATCGCACAACAGAAACAGACCAGTTTTCCACAAGAGAGAATATGCAAATGATTTATTGATACTACATGGTCTTATAAAAACCTAAATTGTAAAATACACAAGACGAACTAAAAGATTAGAAACCAATGAAAACAGAAAAACAGCTATTTGGAAATTAATGACATCGGTTGCATTTTCTCAGCATTTCTGTAACACTAAACAAAAGGGAAAAGGCTGGATTTGAAACCATCTTCAATGTTGCCTGAACCTCCTTCTGTGGCTTTATTAGATCATTCTTTCAGCTTCAATTCAACATTGAACAGTGAATCAATACTGAAGTTTCAAACAAACAAACTAAAGTCTTTAAGTGTATTTGGTCATCTGTGACATTTGACCCTGCAAAACTACTGATTGGCTGCTTCACAAGCGTCTATCCAATCACTGTACACGTCCACCGGCTCTGAGAGATCTGAGAGAGAGATTAAGGACAAGAACCAACATCACATTAAACAAATAATTCACCCAAAAATGAAAACTTGCTGAGAATTTACACACCCTCAGGCCATCCAAGATGTAGATGAGTTTGTTTCTTCATCAGAACAGATTTGGAGAAATGTAGCATTACATGACTTGCTCACCAGTGGATCCTCTGCAGTGAATGGGTGCCGTCAGAATGAGGGTCCAAACAGCTGATAAAAACATCACAATAATCCACACCACTCCAGTCCATCAGATAACAATCTTGTGAATTGGAAATCTGCATGTTTGTAAGAAACAAATTAATCTTTAAGTCATTGCTTCCGGCTAAAATACGAGTCCTCTATCCATATTCTCCAGTCACCTCGTCTGAATCAGGAGAGAAATATGCACAGATCAAGCACCGTTTACAAGAGAAAACATGATAAAGTTCTAAACAAATATTCAGGTAGATTTTGATGTGAGAGGACAACAAGGGATGAACTTTTTCACTGGATGAAGCGTTATTATGGATTATGGACCGATATTTTGGTCAGAAGTGAAGGTTTAATTTTAAAACCTCTTAATTATGGATTTGTTTCTTATACAAACATGCCGTTTTTCACTTCACAAGACAATAACTGATGGACTGGAGTGGTGTGGATTACTTGTGGATTATTGTGATGTTTTTATCAGCTGTTTGGACTCTCATTCTGACGGCACCCATTCACTGCAGAGGATCCTTTGGTGAGCATGTGATGCAACTATTCCTTTATTAATAATATACATCATGCAATAAATACAGTTACTCATACTCTTTTAATTTATCAAATACATGTCTGTTTCAGTTAGGTTTTGAGAAGGATACAGGTTATTGGTGTCTGGAATTCCTCTAGACACACAGTACAGGATATTATCCCCGTATTTCGACTTCGCTCCCTGGAATAAAGTAAAAATGTTGAGCGTTAGTGATTTTTTTTTTTTTTTTTTGCATGCAAAAGATCTTAAAGTAACACTTAAGGAGTTTTATTCTTACATCTTAACGTCACATGATTTCTCGTGGTTACAGAAGGGGCAGGTAAACTGGGTGTCCAGGTTTCCCGTCATCTTTTTCTTGGGAGGGGGTTTTCTCTTCGACTTTCTGCGTCCCATCTTTTCCTTCATGGAGGATATAAAGCACAAATAAAATCAGATTAAAGATACTTTAAAGCAATCTTTAAATACATGAACATTAAATGAAGGAGCTGCTTGTGTCAAATATACACAAACAGAAGCAACAGCCTCTTGCAACCATGAGGTTTACAACATAAACACAGATCAAGGTAACCTTTATGTGATGACATTTAGCATCTAAAAATAATGTGCAATTCATATACATTCTTTCTGATATGAGATTAAACCACATTGACTGTGTATTTTTGTCTCAAACTGACAAACAATTAAACCGTTTTGTGATATTTGAAAGGTGTTCTAGGTTCTAAGCAACATATACACAGAAAAACAAACACAATCAGTAAAATGGAAATACAATGAAAACCCTAGCAAAACCATATGGTAAAAACACTCACGATAATACGTTATACTTAAACATTTAAGAAAGACATTATGCTTAAACAACAACAAAACCAAAACAAATCTCTTACCAAACTGCGATTAATGAGAGGCGACTCTGAGAAAACCAGCACTCACCGTCTACAAAAAAATAAACAGAAGATTTACTTTCGCTCGGTCTTCTTCTTCTTCTTTGGAATTTTTTGGCGTATTCCGCACCATAGGCACATACCGCCACCAACTGTTTCTAATCATACATGGATGATAGTCCCGCCTCTATACATATATATATATTTTTTTTAATTGTTAATTTTATTTCGGGCTCACCCAAGCTGTATTTCTGGCTGCTGCGTGTTCAGCTCCCATGCCAAAAAAAACAGCTTGTGTGTTCCCCTATTCCTTTGCTTTGCTTATTTATTTAACTATCAAATTCGCTTATTTAATCCTGTTTCTACTATATCTACTATATATTTTATTACTTTAATACTTTCAATACCTTCTCTTAATCCTTTTCCTAATATCCAATTTATCTTCTTTTTTCTTTATTATTACCATTTAAGTTCATCATTTTAATTATCTCTATATTATATTTCCGACATTTTAATATTACATGTTCAACGGTTTCTATTACCCCACAAAAAGCACATTTACCTGTAATATGTTGACCTATTTTGTATAGTGATGCATTTAGTCCTGTGTGCCCAAATTGTAATCTATTTAAAATCACCTCTACATCTTCTAAAATGGAATACTTCTTTCTTCCGCTCGGTCAAATGGCCCTTCAGTTTAAAAGCGGATCGGATCTAATGTTAAACACCAGAACTACAACAGAGTTCAAAACTGAGTTTATTTGGGGAGCGAAAACGGTGTATAATTTCAATGAATATCATTGTGTTCATTCGGTGCGCATTTTTTTTTCCAGGATTCTTTGGTGAATAAAAAGTTTAAAAAGACCAGCATTTATTTAAAATATAAAAAAATTCTAACAATATAAGTTTTTATTATCACTTAATTAACACATACTTGCTGAATAAAAGCGTTCATTTCAGAATCCTGAAAAAAGTATCACAGGTTCCATAAACATATTAAGCAGCACAACTGTTTCCATTATTGATAATAAATCAGCATATCAGAATGATTTCTGAAGGATCATGTGACACCGAAGACTGGAGAAATGATGCTGAAAATTCGGCTTTGATCACAGGAATAAATTATATTTTAAAGTATAGTAAAATATCAGAACTGCAATATTACACATTAAATTCATTACATGAGTATAAACAAACTATAATTCAATTGTTTTAAGAAAATCAAAAGTCTGTATTCTACCTATATAAAATTGAAATAAAATAATTAAACTAAATAAAAATAACTTAACAATGACAAAAGCACAAAATTACTAAAACTTTCAAATTAAAATGAAAACTTAAATATAAAAATAAAAGGTAATTCAAAATATGAATAAATACTATAATAGTACATACATTATACTAAAGCAACACTGACTGTTATATTACTGTTATAACTTAAAATATCATCTATATGAATTAATGATTTCATGTTAGTTATCTGCTAGAGTTAATTAGTTACAATTTTGGGTGGGCGTCAGACAGACAAGCAGCTCCTTGCATCGTGATTGGATGACATACGTCCATATATTTGAATAAGAGAGCGTGATTGGGTGGTGTGAGCACGGGGGCGGGACTAACAGGGTAGGTGTGATATCGAGCAAAAGGAGCTGACATTTTGTGCAGAAGATATACTTCGAAACTGATCGTAGAAAAAGACCTGTATAAAACGACTCAAAACTCGGGTACTTTCTATAGACCGACGGAACTGACATCGAGAAGGAAATTGGTTCAGTGCGTCACTGCTTGCGTAAGTAACAGAGAAATTGCGTGAACGACTATCGCGGAAGTCTTGTAAACGTGCTGTTGTCATTTTCTTATTAACGGGTCAAGTAAAGTAAACTGGTGCAAATTATATTAGCGGATCCAAAAGCATAACCGATCAGGATCATCGGTAAGGTTTTTAGGCGCAAAAACTACAGGATCTGTTTTGCGATTGTATGTTGTTCTCGACAATTTTATCAACATCAGTACATACACACAACTCTTATCTATACTGACACACTTTAAATGTATGTGCAGGCATAACGGCATAATGCATGTTATATAATTTGTGAAATGTTCTGCATATATAGCTTTATATTTAGATGAGATTGTTAATCTTTATGTATTCTAATGCAGATTTTTTGAGACCTCTTTATTTGGAACATGCTGATTATTTATTTTTTATTATTATTAATATTATTCAATTTTCAGAAGTTAATTATGGCTACTGAGGGAGACCCAACTGGCTTTGTGAAAGTGCTTCACCTTCTGGTGATTTCTTTCATCTGGGGAATGCAGGTGTGGGTGTCTTTCATAGCAGGTAAATTAATATACGCAAGTGTTATGATAATTGTATCATAATATAACATGCCATATGTACTTCTAATTCCTCTTTATATTTTCAGGTTTTGTGCTGATTTCCCAGGTATCCATGCACACGTTCGGTCTTGTGCAAAGCAAGTTATTCCCATTTTATTTCTATTGTCTGCTGGGTGGAAATGCAGTCAGTCTGGCCATATTTGCTGTGTACCACCCTAGAGAACTGCTGGACTGGCATGAGGGCATACAGGTGACCAATCAAAACTTTATGCATTCTGCATGATTCATTAAAGGAATATTTGCTGAAAATGTGCTCTCAGGCCATTCAAGATATAGATTCAGTTTGTGTCTTCATAGGAACAGATTTTGAGAAATTTGTCATTGCATCACTTGCTCACCAATGCTAGAGAACTGCTGGACTGGCATGAGGGCATACAGGTGACCAATCAAAACTTTATGCATTCTGCATGATTCATTAAAGGAATATTTGCTGAAAATGTGCTCTCAGGCCATTCAAGATATAGATGCAGTTTGTGTCTTCATAGGAACAGATTTTGAGAAATTTGTCATTACATCACTTGCTCACCAATGGATCCTCTGCAGTGAATGGGTGCCGTCAGAATGAGAGTCCAAACAGCTGATAAAAACATCACAATAATCCACAAGTAATCCACACCACTCCAGTCCATCAGTTAATGTCTTGTGAAGCGAAAAGCTGCATACTTGTAAGAAACAAATCCATCATTACGACATTTAAACTTTATCGCTTCTGGCTAAAACATGAGTCTGTAACCCATAATAACGCTTCCTCCAGTGAAAAAGCCCATCCCATGTTGTCCTCTTTACATCAAAATCCACCAACACATTTGTTTAAAACTGTCCTGGACTGTTTTCACTTGTAAACAGTGCTTGATCTGTGCATATTTTTCTCCCGATTCAGATGAGGTGATTTTAATTTTTTTTTTTTACAAGAGAAAGCAATATTATAGATAGAGGTCTCATATTTTAGTTGGAAGCAACGGTTTAAAGTTAAAAACACCTTAATGATGGATTTGTTTCTTACAAACATGCAGCTTTTCACAAACTGTTAATTGATGAACTGGAGTGGTACGGATTACTTGTGGATTATTGTGATGTTTTTATCAGCTGTTTGGACTCTCATTCTGACGGCACCCATTCACTGCAGAGGATCCACTGGTGAGCAAGTGATGCAATGCTACATTTCTCCAAATCTGTTCTGATGAAGAAACAAACTCATCTACATCTTGGATGGCCTGAGGGTGAGCACATTTTCAACAAATCTTTGTTCCTCTTTCCTCATTTTGTTTCCATTCCTTTAAACAACCCTCTCTCGCTCTGTTTTTATTTTTCTGAGCAGATGACTCTTTTCTTTGTGGCTGTGATCATGGCCGGCCTGAACGCGCAGTGGTTTGGTCCATCTGCCACAGAGAGCATGCTGGTCATGCAGGAGATCGAGAAGGAACACGGTCTGGGAAATCAGGTGGGTATGAGCTCCAATAAGGAAGGATACGCCAAACTCCGTGAGCAGGACCCAAAATACAAGGAGCACAGGACCACCTTCTACCGCTACCACGGTCTGTCCAACCTCTGCAACCTCATAGGCTTTTTCTCCACTACCATCAATCTCATTTACCTGGCCCTCCATTTGGGAACTATATGAGTGTGTTGCGTGTCTTTGAGAAAGAGTGCAGTCTGACAGATATTTTTAGAGAATTATCCCGTATATGTTCTCTCTTTTTGTCAGACTGATTTGTATAACAATAATGCTTCCAGGTTTTATACAACAAGAGTGTTTAGTGTTCGTTAAGGTTAAAAGAACCAAATTCAGACCCCTTGACGAGAGCCAAAAGTGAACCGAGTGAAAAGAGCCCAGTTGATTTTGTATTTACAGTCCCTAAAAGTGGACTCTCACTTAGAAATGTTAGGAATCATGTGGACATTTTTTGACTTATAAAAAAAAAAAAAAATCTCTATATAAGGCATAATTCTTGTGAATTGCTTTCAGACAAAGGATAAAACACGTTTTTTAGGTCTGGGGAATCAGGTGGGTATGAGCTCCAATAAGGAAGGATACGCCAAACTCCGTGAACAGGACCCAAAATACAAGGAGCACAGGACCACCTTCTACCGCTACCATGGTCTGTCCAACCTCTGCAACCTTATAGGCTTTTTCTCCACTACCATCAATCTCATTTACCTGGCCCTCCATTTGGGAACTATATGAGTGTGTTGCGTGTCTTTGAGAAAGAGTGCAGTCTGACAGATATTTTTAGAGAATTATCCCGTATATGTTCTCTCTTTTTGTCAGACTGATTTGTATAACAATAATGCTTCCAGGTTTTATACAACAAGAGTGTTTAGTGTTCGTTAAGGTTAAAAGAACCAAATTCAGACCCCTTGACGAGAGCCAAAAGTGAACCGAGTGAAAAGAGCCCAGTTGATTTTGTATTTACAGTCCCTAAAAGTGGACTCTCACTTAGAAATGTTAGGAATCATGTGGACATTTTTTGACTTATAAAAAAAAAAAAAATCTCTATATAAGGCATAATTCTTGTGAATTGCTTTCAGACAAAGGATAAAACACGTTTTTTAGGTCTGGATCCTATGACGTTTTTTTATTTTGTAAACCTGCTCAGCCATTTTAAATGATATTATTATTATTGATTTTAACAGTATTTCTCCCTACTTTAAAATGCTTCAAAGTGGGTAATTGCACTGGATCTGTTTATAATAAACAGACCGTCTATTTAAACTTACATTAGTGATATTATAGCCGTTTATGATTGCTTAAAGAACGTGTTTTAATTTGTTGGTGAAGTATGTACTATAATTCTTACCTGTTTTTGCCTTTATGCTTCACATTGTGAACAATACATATATTTTCCCACTGGAGGGCCGTTTGTGGAAAGGCTCTTGGTAATGAGAGGACCAGTTTTAGGATTGTCTATCATAAAATGCTGTTTACATTTCCTATAGAATGAATGACACTATAATGGCAATTAAACTCTATGGAAAAAGCAATGAATAGTAAATGAACTTTGTAAACATGATGTTTGAACAGCAAAGTAAACTTCCTTTTATCACTGGACCTGGAGAAGAATGCTGTTGAAGATTCAGTGACACAAATGTGATTCCGTTGATTTTTCTGCATATTCAAACCTTTGCTGTGAATATTAGTTATTTTTATTTTTAGTGTTTCATACCGTTTTTATCCTATTTTTCCTTTTAATTATAAGAAAGCAAACTTTATTTGTGTGTGTTTGTGTCCGTTGGGAATCTTGGTCATTTTTAGAAAGCAAACTGACAGTTTTTTTGTTTGTTTATTACTGACACTGAACAAGCATTTATTCAGTTAAAGAAATATCAAACACCTGTGCTTATTGAGTTTTAATTAAAATAAATAAATAAAATTTACTGCAAGTACTCTGAAAGAGTTGTTCCAGACATCTAGTAACAAGTGTTGTGTTTTTATTAGCATTTACAGCTTTTTTTACTGCAGCTATACATACATGCTGACCAGAATTCAGTGACACATACATGAGAGGAAGTGCAAAGGAGTATTCCAATGAATGTCGTTTCATTAATTCTGCTATAGTGATAATACCCTATTCACAAAAAAAAAAACTTAAATACCTTTTGTGCATGATTGTGACCAATTTGGTGCCATTAAAGGAATAGTTCACCTTCAGTTGCTGGTTCCCATTGACTTGCATAGTGTTTTTTTCCCCACCATACTATGGAAGTCAATGGGGACGGACCAGCAACTGAAGGTGAACTATTCCTTTAGCTTGATTTGCATTTCATAAGTTGGAATTTGAATTGAATTGTCCACAACTCACAGGATGTAATGGCATTCTGGGAAATGAAGTGTTTTTTCACCCTAGTAGTAATGAAAAATGTGTTTTAAAAAACTATTTATTATTTAGTAAAAGTCTATGCGTTTATCTGCAAGACTGATAAACATTACAACTTAAAGACTTGTAAAAAAAATAATCAATTTTCTGATTTTTTAAATTCCTACTTCCGTACATTAAAATGTAAATTGTAATTCTGCATTCTGTTTACTAGCTCAGTTCAAATTCAATAATCGAATTGAAAATTAAAAGGTATTTCAAATGATAGACAGATGATAGATAGATATTTTTTATTTTACATTTGCTATATCATTAAAGTATTTGCAGAAAAGTTTGTAAAGAGGAAGAAAAAGAACTGAGGTGCTTCGGGACGTAGCTGGAAGCTGCTGTGTAAACACTTCAGATCCGGGAGCTCCGTCACGCTCGCACGCACGCACACTCGAACACAATCACAAACGCACCGACGGAGTTACACTCGCGTTTCCACGCGAGGAAGTCCCGGTCCCGGAGCACGAGATAAACCGCCGAGTATCCGTGTGAAGGTAAGAACCTCTTTTAATTGAGTTTTTGCGTTTGAGAGTCATTTTGACCATCATGCACCTTTCTCTGTCTCCGAAAGGGAACAGCTTTATGAACTTTGGGTCATGCAGCACATGAACCGTTAACATTTTGTTCATCATGCCATCGTGATTATGTCGTCGTTGTTCTTTCAAACAGTTTAGAACGCCAGAGAGTGAGGATTCGAATTCAGTCCAGATTTAGGTTGAGAACTGAACAGCTGTGTACATAAACAATGACACTACCACATTCTTCCACGAGTCTCTTCTTTTGAATACCATGTAAATACCTTTCTAGGTAGGCCTACATATCAAAGTATTATACGATTCTGTACCATGGTACTTTTTTTGCTAGGAAAAAAGTTCTTATGTTCCGTATTTATGTAAACCTCCTGCATGCATGGATTAAACAACAGGTTATTTAGTTACATTCATTAGATTTTAAGAAATGCAGTTGTGTGATTGTCACCTTTGAATCAGTCTGCAGTGAATAAAAGCAAACTGTGTCCTGTTTAATTCCATTTAACTGGATCACAGCTGTGCACATCTGCCAGACGATCAGTATCATGGTAACCAGAGACCCTGTCCCTCAAAGCACTGTTGGGCCCTCTGGTGTAAGTGATGGAGTCAGTGTCACAGATCACTGATTTATAGCATGTCTGAGAAGGACATTAAAACCAGCTGAGGTGAATTTTGGTCCTGCCGGGTGTAGATCTGATATTCAACAAATCTGCTCTTTACAGTGTTGCAACTGTGATATAGACCAAAAAAAAGTGAAGCACTTACAATGGAAGTCTATGAGGCAAGATATTCCCATAAGGTTTAAAACAGAACTGTGTTATTTTAATATAATTGATTATGATTATATCACATGTCATGCATAATATACAGTGTTTACTGTTTATCAGAAAGTCTTATTGAAACTGAAGAAAGAAGCCTGCATTGCAACTGAGAAAAATCTAAAGCATCCAGTTTGAACTGGGATCAAATTTAATTTTTCTTAAAATTGTACCATGGTGACCATAGTTTATAGCAAATAAAATGGTGGTAACTTGGTATTATTCACAATTGTCATCAAAACGGATTTTTGGATTTGAGACTTTAGTCTTTGCAACTTTACAGATCTTCTTTATGCACCAAGAGCTTGTAACACTTCAAAGAGAAAGGAAAAATTGAAATCGCATCATATGACCCCTTTAAAAGCTTCTTGCATAGTTGAAGGTGATGGCATATGAAGTTAATATTTTAGTAGGTCTGTATTATTAGTGTGAAATATTAAGCTCTGATTCTATGCAGATTAAAGTAATGTTAATGGGGGGAAGGGGTTCCATACAGCCCATAGCATTATTGATTTGTGTCTCTCATGGGACAAGTGGGATGGGATTCGGTGTTCTTACTAATGGACAAAGAGCTGTGCTGAGTGCCGTTCGGTATAAAACCGTTATATTGAGCTGTGAAATGAATGGTGAGCATAGATCGGGTCTGTTTTATGGTGTTGTTTTAGGGTTTCATCCAGACACGCATCTGAACTGCAGAAATGATATTAAATGAAGCGGTAACAAAGTAGCTTGAGAGATTTGGGGTGTCTTGTTGTTGAAGATCATGGAATAAAATCCACTTTCATTGACATCTCTGGCTTCAGTTTTAGTATTGAAAGGCCTCATGCAGCCGGTGCACATGCTCAACACGTGACAAGACTTTTCAGCTTAAGATCCTTTGAGAATATAAGACCTTAGAAAGTACAGTTTTACTCAATTTTAATGTTTCATTTGAACAACAAGGCAATAACAGCAAGTGAAAACATTGTTTAATGGAAACGTATGCATGTAGTTTTTGCATATAACTATAAATGTAAATAATTGTGAAGAAAAGGTGATTCTGAGTTTTGTGATTTTTGACATTTAATCATTGTTTGCAAAATTACTTAAAGTGATAGTTCACAAGAAATATGTTGATTGATGTTGGTTTAGTCAGATAGACTACATTCACTTTCACTGTACACGACAATTCAAAAGTTTGAGTTCGGTAAGAATTTTTAATGTTTTAGCCTGTTCTGCTCACCAAGGCTGCATTTATTTAATGGAAAATACAGTAAAACAGCAATATTATGAAATATTATTACAATTTAAAATAACTGTTTTCTATGTGAATATATTGTAAAATGTAATTTATTCATGATCAGAGCTGAATTTTCAGCATCATTACGCCAGTCTTCAGTGTCACATGATCCTTCAGAAATCATTCTAATATGCTGATTTGCTCCTTCTTATCATTATGAAAACAGTCGTGCTGCTTAATATTTTTGTGGAAACTGTGATACATTTTTTTCAGCATTCTTTGATGAATACAAAGTTCAAAAGAACTATTTGAAATAGAAATCTTTTGTAACATTATAAATGCCATTACTCTCACTTTTGATTGATTTAATGCATCCTTGTTGAATAAAAATATTAATTTCTTATTAAAAAAAAGAAGCTATGAGTAAACAGTCCCTTTAACACATTCTGTGCTTGTTTTTATTAGAGCAATTTTCCTCTTAAAATAGGAAGACGTTTCAAAACCTCTAAAGTGTTTCTTGTTGTCTTACCCAATGATTTTGCAACCCTACCCTACACTGTAAACCTGACCGTTAGGATTAACCACCAGTTACAGACTTCTCAAAGCAGTGAGCACATGCTCATCAGAATCATTTTTCACCAAGTGTGTCTCTCCATGAGCGAGAGACCAACTCACCAACTCCACCAACTCACAGACTTGCCGTTCTAAATTACTATTGCAGTTGAGTTCAAAAAGATACTACCTAACAAGTGCTCTTGTGTCCTCGAGACAATATCTGCTGTGGGCAGTCACTCTCTTTGTTGTAACATCTCCACCTCTGGGGAGGAGTGGTGTTTGGAGTGCTCCGCTCCCCTTTTAATGGGTCTGTCTGCGCACTTTGTTGGTGGGCCCGTCACCATGGAGACCCTCTCCATCAGGCCCGTGAGGGTCTGATTGATCGGCTGGACGGTGGAGGGGTTTTATTTCCATTCCCAAGAGTTTGCCTGTTAGTTTGAGCTCTCGTGTCGGTGGACTGAAGCTTGTGCTCTGAGGGTAATCCGATACAGTATGTGTTTTCAGACCAGAACAGGTGATGTGTTTGAAGTCAACATGAAACAGCATTCGCAAACCTATTTTACTTCCGTAGTGTGACGTGTTTCAGAGTGAAACAGGATATTTGATGAGAAAATCTTGTATGGGACTGTTTTTGTTTGTTTGTTTGTGTTAAGTTTTGTTTTCATGTTGACTTTAAATGAGAAGCCAAATTTATTTGGAGATAGTTCAGTAATATTTCATATACTTTTATGTATTTAAATGTATCCAAATAAAATTAGAGGTCTTATGATAAGCAGAATTTAATTGATTTCTCAATCTTACCAAGTGGTTTTTGTATTCATTTTGAAATGAAATCTAAAGCACACTTTTTGTCTCTTTCAGATGGCATCAGTGACCGACTCGCGTCTCCAGCCGTCACAGAAAGACGCGGCTGACCAAAACTTCGACTACATGTTTAAAATCCTCATCATCGGCAACAGCAGCGTCGGTAAAACCAGCTTCCTGTTTCGCTATGCGGACGATTCCTTCACTTCAGCCTTCATCAGCACGGTGGGGATCGACTTTAAGGTCAAAACTGTTTTTCGCAACAACAAAAGAATCAAACTGCAAATCTGGGTAAGTGTGGTTGTCACCTGATCAGTCTGATGTCTTAAAATAATAGGAGAATCTGTTTTTGAACAATTTTAATGCAAGTTCAATCCCATCTACTCAAGTATTTTATTAAAACTATTTTTTTAATTATTACACTACCATTCAAAAGTTTTGGGTCAGTATGTTTTTAAAAGAAGTCTCTTATGTTCACCAAGGCTACATTTGTTTGATCAGTAAACTACAGTAAAAACAGTAATATTGTGAAATATTATTACAATTTTCAGCAGCATTACTCCAGTCTTCAGTGTCACATGATCCTTCAGAAATCATTCTAATATCCTGATTTGTTGCCCAATAAATATTTCTTGTTATAATCAATGTTGAAAACGGTTTTTGCTGCTTAATAGTTTATAACATTTATTTTTCAGGAGTCTTTGATGAATAGAGAGTTCAAAAGAACCAAATTTATTTAAAATAGGTTTATTTTCTAATATAAAAATGAAAGATTTTTTTTTATTCATTTGTCATACCACAGGACTATGCTAAATTAACTAGAGAAGCATAAACGACTCTTAACTTTTATAAAGAATATCTCTTTGGATTTGAGACTATAGTCTTTGCAACTTTACAGATCTTCTTTATGCACCAAGAGCTTGTAACACTCCAATGAGAAAGGAAAACTTGAAATCGCATCATATGACCCCTTTAAAAATGGTGAAAGGCATAAAAATATTGAGCACTTTAATATATTTGTAACCTAAAATAATGATTTTGATTTAAAAAATGAGCACATTATGTCAACTACCCACATTTCTGTTTCTATTTTGTTTCCTTTTGTGGACTTAGGCTGGGTTAGAGATGATAAATTTTGTTCTTTTGCAGTGAAAAGATTTTCTAGGTTTCTGCAGCTGTAGTTAAAGTGAACGATCAGATGTTGCAGGAAAGGTCTATGTATCCAGTGATGATTCAAGATGCATTTTCTAATTGTAGATTCAAACCTGTTTATTTGAAGATTTTACAGTTTTGAAAGAGTTCATGTGGTCTGAACATGTAATTTGTTGCTTCACCATGTTTTTATGTCTAGTCTTCTGCCCCTCATCATATTTGAGGCCACTAATGTGTACTGTAGTGTAAAACTAGTTTGTGTTATTCATGGAAATATCATGAAATTGTGTTTCAAGCCTGGATAGATCATGGCAATTAATGAAATCTTAAAAAGTCATGAAAAATGCATCTGAATATACATGTTTGTAGTTATTTATACCATGGTCTGTCTGAATACTCAATTCTGATTGGCTGGCAGGTATGCATTAAGTTAGAGATAATGCATGGCTAGCTGTGCATTACCCCTTATATATATTTAGCTCTAACACTTTTAATTGGCTCAAAACCACGCCTTCTAAGTACAATTTCTACAAATTGTTTTTAAAACCCTAATCACAAATCACTGGAAAAGTCATTCATTAATCAAAAAGTGTGGAAACTGTGACATTACAAAGCATGAGTGTTTCATCATGTCAGTGGATCGGTCATGTTTGTGGTGGTAATTGCCAGACGCAGAATCGCTTAAAGGATAAAGGTTTGATGACTAACAGAGACCTTTGAGAATGTTTCATGCTTTGTTTGCATGTGAGCTTTAGGCTTTAAGTTTTAGCCTTAGGAACTGAAGGTCACATTACTGGTGTTATTAAAGAAAACATCTCAGAAAGCCATAATTATCAGCTGCAGAAGGGTGTGTAGATGTGCTGTAATGTCAGCTGCCGGCTGGTACGGTATTGTGAGTGGGAGTGAAGTCAGTAAATTCCTGCACAGCAGAGATGCTGCAGTGATCTCTAAAGCTGCAGATTAGCTGCATGCTGCTGTCTGCCTACTATTAACTACTAGTATGCATAAACAATAAAAACAGTAGCATAGTATTCTGTATGTGACAAAGTGCATACTACTTGTTACATACTATACTGTAGTATGCTATACATTTATCACATGACTCATTATGTGTAGGGTTATTTTAGTATCATTAAGATTTTTTTAGTATTTAGATTTTTTATATATATATATGTTTTTTTTTTTTACAAATTTTTACTGTTTTAGTAATTTTGTTTGTGTTTTTGTCATTTTTATTAGTTTGTTTTTTAATGTCTATATAGTTTTCATTCATTTTTATTTCAGTTTTAGTGCATCAAGATACACTAAATGAAATACAGTATGTTTTTAAAATAGCCTAAGTTTAGTTTTATTTCAATACACTGAAGTAAAATATGTTTTTTAATATATATATATATTAATCTAGTTGAAATTAATTTGATTTCAAGTAACAAAATTGTTTTATGGTTTTAGTTTTAGGTAACCATAATAACCCTGATGATGTTTAATTCAGCAATTGTCATAATTTTGCAAACATAAAAAGTTCAAGTTCATTTGATTTATATAGCACATTTACAACAGCCACTAGGCTGACCAGAGTGCTTTCCAGAGGAGCAAGATTAGAAGAGAATATAAAATACAAAAAAATACATAAAATATAACATACATAAACTATTATTTTGCATTTTAATCCAATTCTGTGTTACAACCTCACAAACCTGTGTTAAAACAGTGGCTGTTCAATCATAAGAGAAGGAGAATGTGGCTGATATCACTTCCAGTTAATTCGTCATAAATACTGGACATGAAGGTCAAGTCAATGCATTGTGGGATGCAGTATTTCATGCAGTGCTATGCTGTATACTGTAGTTCATCAGGTATTTTATGCATGCAAAATGTTTGCATACTGCACATACATACTATATATTGCAGAAATAGCAAGAGTATACTCTAAAAAATGCTGGGTTATATTTAACCCAGCATTTTTTAGAGTGTAGAATGCTATTGTGAATGTTATATTAGTCTAACTGGGGAACAAAATGGTGAAGAAACAATTTTCACTCAGAAATTGCTTGTAAATTTCATAAAGAAAGTAGTGGCAAGTAACACATTGAATTAAGCATGACATTTTGAAGTAGTTTTTACAGTGTGTTTTAGTTTAGAGATGAATGTGAGCTGGATGGCATTCAGCGTGTTTCGTCGTAATGTGTGCTTTGGCTCTGATCCAGTAACAGACAGGCTTGTGTGTGTTAGTTTGAGCCTCCTGGCCACACTGAACCTCTGCATCTGTCGGCTGTTGACTGTCTGTCCAACAAGACCCTGAGTTAGAAAGAGTTCTGCAGATGCACTGAAACACTTTTGATAGATAAAAAGGTTGCAATGCATTTTTGTAGCTCACTCTAATTGAAGAAATGTTTCTTATGCATAATTTAGAAATGAAAATAGGCTAGTGGTTGAAGATCCTTGAGGTTGTGGGTGCAAATCCTAAAAGGGGATATTATAGTGACATAGTGGACTGTGATTCATGCTTATGATTCATAAAGCATACATTAGCCGAATAGAAAATCATTGCATTTGTTTTGCACAGATTTTCTTTTTCTTGTCTCTTTGCACTTTGGTCTTTATAAATAATTCTAAACAAGAGAATAGTAATTGTGCTTGCATAATTATTGATCTAAATACATATTCATGCAGGGCACGTTTATTGTTTATTTCACCACTCTGTATTCTGATAAGTCTCACAGTTTTTTGTCCATCTGGCTGTTGACTGGAGCTCGTCTCTGCTGTTTGTCACTCTTGCCAAACATTAATGGATCATGTGTAAACCTGTGTGACCCACTGGTTGCCTAGGCAACACTTTCTCTCCTCCCTCTCTGATGATGGGATGGCTCTTCATGCAAATAAGTTTGGCCAGCAGGTTTCTAAGCGACGGCGCATAGTTGCTGTGCCAACCCAGGCCAATAGTCCATATGACTATGATGATTTTTAATTCCATTATTTGTATTTTTTATTTGCATAGATAGATAGATAGATAGAAAACACAAATTAAAATTTGAAAATAATTTGAAATTTGTTTATATGCTGTGTGTGTGTATATATATATATATATATATATATACATACATACATACATACATACACACATACACACACATATACATTAATATACATACTTCACATAATAATAATATCATATATTATTCACATATCATAAATATGTGTATTATTTTTATCTTTATAAATATAAAATTCAACAATTTTATGTTATTTAATTTTATATTATATTATTTATATATTTATTTTAAATACATGTATTACATAGAAGTGTAAATAAATATGTAATTTTGTATGTAAAATTAAATATACATGGATTTTGTATATATGCTATACATCATATAAATAGAAAATATATTAAATTAAATTACATTTAAAAATACAATTTATGCTAGATTGTTTATAAATATTTTTATTGCATTTGAGAAAATATGAATCGGTTTTAGTTTTAGTTTTTATTTATCTTATTTAGTTTTTATTTATATGCACAACATTTTAATTATTATAAATTATTTACAACGTTTTATATTACAATATACATTAATATATAAAAATACATATACTATGACTTATAAAATAATGTATACATATATTATTTTATTTATTTATTTATTTTGGTAGTTATTTTATCATCATTTGCATAAGGGTTATTAACAAGTTTTTTTCTTTGATGATTTAAAAAAAAAATATGTTAAATGGATTATCATAATATAACACAGACTTCTCAGATTTGACATCAGAATATAGTAGTGTTTCTTTGAAAAAAAACAACAACCCTTTTCTGCCATCTACTGGTCAATATAGGAAATGAAGACCATTTATCTCATCATCAGCCTCACAACCCAGGATGTTGAATCCATGCATATAATTAGGATTATTGTAATGATTATGTTGTTCAGGACACAGCCGGACAGGAGCGCTATAGAACCATCACTACAGCGTATTACAGAGGAGCCATGGGCTTCCTGCTAATCTACGACATCACAAACCAGGACTCGTTCAACGCCGTTCAGGACTGGTGAGTGACACACACACACACACACACACATGCATCTGTACATTATGTGTGTATTAAGAGTGTTTAATGTTCACGTCCTGCATGTTTGGCTCTTAGGGCCACTCAGATAAAGACATACTCCTGGGACAACGCACAGGTGATACTGGTGGGCAACAAGTGTGACTTGGAAGATGACAGACTCATTCCGACAGAGGACAGTCAGAGATTGGCTCAAGAACTCGGTGAGAAGATGCACATTACAACTTATTTTTAGCCTTTTTGCTGAAAAATCACAAGATTCAAACTCATTATCCATCTGATTCTCAATGTACACTAACTGCCATGCCACAGTTGCAGAAGTCCATTACTACATCTATTTCTATATCTATATCTACATCTGTATCTGTTTAAAAATAAGTATATGTAGTAGAACATTTTTCCAATGGAACATTTCCAAGGAATATTTCCACAAAATTGGTCTCCATTTATTTATTTATTTAACATATTTTGTTTTTAAATCCTCAAAGAAAAAAAAACTTGTTAATAACCCTTATGCAAATGATGATAAAATAACTACCAAAATAAATAAAATAATATATGTATGTATACATTATTTTATAAGTCATAGTATATATATATTTTACAAATTCAGTCATAAATTTATATATTAATGTATATTGTAATATAAAATGTTTTTAAATTTATAATCATTAAAATGTTGTGCATATAAATAAAAACAAAATAAGATAAATAAAATAAAATAAAAGCATTTTTTATAACTGATTCATATTTTTTTTAAATGCAATATAAATTATTATTAAATATTTATAAACAATCTGTTTTATTTATTTACCTCCCCACACCTCAATAATTTCCTTAAACAATCTATAAGTAAAATATATTATTATTAATTAAATTATTTATAAATAAGAGAAGTTTATAAATAAGTTAAATATTTATAAATATATGTAAATAAATGTATTTCATATATAAATAAATTAAATGTGTAATTTTGATTGTAAAATTGTATGTATCGTTTTTTTTCCCCCCAGTTTTAGCTATTTTTGTACATCAAGATAAACAAAATTAAATTGAGGAAATTTTTCCTCGGCAACTAGCTGAAATAAAAAGTTTATTTTATTTAACAAAAATAACAAAAATGTTTTTTTCATGGTTTTAATTTTGGTTTCTGTTAACTATAATAACCCTGGCTTTGCTTTTTTCTGGTTTCCACAGATTTCCAGTTTTTTGAGGCCAGCGCCAAAGACAACATCAACGTGAAGCAGGTTTTTGAGTGTCTGGTGGATGTGATATGTGAGAAGATGAATGAAAGTATGGACGGAGATGGTCCAGTGTCCAACCACAAAGACTCCAGTCCGCAGGACACGTCCTCTGAGGGACACGCCGGCTGTGCCTGCTAAAACACACTCTCTCCGTCTTTATCACGTAGAGAACTTCTCTTCACCTATTCACTGCTACTTGGGATAATCTTTGCTTTCCTTCTTTTAACCCAAACAGCATCTGCTAAACGCGCTCAGTGTTGTTTGTTGATGTGGATAGTCGAGATAGGATGGCGTGTGGATTGAAATCTGACTGCGCTAGTGATCTGCGTGTCTCCCCGTACGTATTCACGCGTGTATGTGCGTTTTAAAGGTCCATCCACACCCATTGCTCACGCTCTCACCCCGTTCTCCAGCTTTTCTCTGTCTTTCCCTCAAAAAGGCCACGTTTGGATGGATCTTTGTGGTTTTAGCACATGTCCTCTATCTCATCAGATACTGTAACGCCCACAGCCCTGAGTGGGCAGCTTCTGTATTGTCTATCTGGGTGTCCATCTGCTTTAAATTACAGTCCTAACAGCTCATTCGGCACTATTATGGAGATAAATGCACTGTGCTATTCTGATATGTGCAATCATGGGCTGTTGTTTGAAACTTATGAGAAATACCCACTCAAATCAGTGTTTTACTGTTGTTATTTTTTTTTTAAATAAGCGTTTTCTTAAATTATAAGATAGCAAATAAACTTTCTGCAACCCAAAATGTCCAGTATGCTGTCACAATGATTTATAATATCTTGTTATTCTTTTCGAACATTCTTAAAGGATTAGTTTACCCAAAAATGAAAATATGGTTTAATTTTACTCTCCGCCTCAGGCCATCCAAGCTGTAGACGAGTTTGTTTCTTTTTGGAGAAATGTAGCATTACATCACTCGCTCACCAATGGATGTTTGCTTCTTCACTGAGGTTGTGTTGTTATTAAAAAAACTCCATTAATTCTTTTTTTTAACAAAATGTTACGTATGATGTAATATTTTACATAATATGTTTACATAATGAAATATGGTGTAATTATGGTTCAATGAAATCTTAAATATTAAAACTAAACGATTCCTAAAATGAAAGCCTATTTTCTGCTTTCATTTTCATTTTTGTGTGTTTTCGTCATTTTTAGTAGTTTTTAATGTCTATATCGTTTTTATTCATTTTTATTTCAGTTTTGGTTATTATACATCAAATTAATATTTCAGATAATGGTTTTAGTTTTTCATTAGACTAATGGGAAATTAGGGGAAAATGTTACCAAGCAAAAAAAATTTAAAAAAAAAACCTTTAATGATCCTAAACATAGGCCTCATTTAATTTCTTATGATTTTGGGGTCAGATGTGACCTGGACATGCTCTTGATCAGTTTTGTGAGATTCATTCAGCAGCAGTACAGTGGACACAGCAGAAACGAGTTTTGGCCATCTAGAACACTTTCTTGTCTTCTCTATCTCTGTTTTTGCACACTCTCCTGGCTGTCCGTTATGTCCAGTGTTTCTTCAGAGTAGACAGATAGTGGCCTTGCTGAAGCTTTTTCCCGCCTGTTCTCATCCTGTCGGATGATATCAAGGCATGTCACTTTTCTGTGAACCAGTGACAGGTTAAACTTACTTAGATGTCTTTATAAAACCCTCCAATGCAATATATGCATTATTAAAAGACAATATAACAAAGAGTGAAAAATTTAAGGGGGTCTGAATACTTTCCGTACCCACTGTATATATATATATATACACTCTGTCATAATGTGCAACACAAGTTGATCTGTAAGATTGTTGATTAGTTTCCTTTTGTTTTATGTCGCTTTCTCCATTTCCTGTCCCTTTATACCAAACATTTTTGCTTATCTGCTTGTTGTTTTTATTTCATATTCATTAAAAGGCACTGATTGTATTCATTCAAGACTGATAACATTGCATTTTTAAAGAAAATGTTTGCTTGCCTGTTGCATAACTAAGGAGTTAGTGAGAGGTTCAGAATGGTTATAACATTGAAAAAATGATTGTTACAGTTAGCTATCGCAAAAAATTAGCATTTAACTTGTTAAGAGAACTCATATACACTTCACATTTTACAATTTTAAGGCAGCACGAACACTTTGTTGTTTTTACAGTGCATGCATTTACACATTTATGCATCAACATTGACTTACATTGAATTGAATGCATATATTTTTATCAGTTCGTATCCATGACTGTGTGTTGCACGCTCTTAATTTTTGAGTCCCAGGAATGCTTTTTAGCATTGCATGGTTACTAGGGCATTGCTGGGTGTTTGCTAGGTTGTAGCTTGCTGGCCTTTAATTTTCTGGTCTCTATATATGGCTTGAATCTCTCCTTCACTCTTAAAAGTAAAAGTCCTTTATTGGCATTGTTGGTTCCTTGAAGAACCTTTAACATCCATGGAATCTTTCCATTCCACAAAAGATTCTTTAGATTATTAAAATGTTCTTAACACTAATAAAAATGGTTCTCTTAAGAACTGTTCACTGAAAGGTTCTTTGGGGAACCAAAAATGGTTTTTCTATGGCATCACTGCAGTTGATGCTCCGCTTGAGGAAGTCGGAAGGCTCTAGTTGTCTTTGCACAAAAAGGAAAGTGACTTTGTGCTTGCTGGAGTTGATAGCTTCTGTAATTTATGACTTTATACCTGTATCTCTGCCAACTCTTTTATCTGCGTACCCAGAAAACTATAAGAAAGGGGGCTTCCTGAATTTCATTTTCCTGTTACACACCACTAACCCACAACCACAAGAGCCAGAGGAAATGAAGGAAATACATGCACCAATGACCTGAGTGTCACCGTTTTTTTTTTTTGGGGGGTCAACAGTATCTAAACATGGAGGCCAGTGAAGTAAGCGTTTGCACGTTCATTTCTTATGGAAGGTGGACGGGGCCGAAATCCTTTAAACTAGGGTGACCATACGTGCCATTTTCCCAGGACGCGTCCTGGCCAGGATTTCTATATTGCCTAAAATATCTAGGTTTTGGCTAACACGCACAGCAGCCAATTAAATTGCTGTATTTGAAACTAAATTTGCATATGTGATGTGATGGTACGTTGGTATATACTTATGCAAACGTTATACATCATGTTTATTCGTGAAGGATGTCATAATGGGACACTGCTTGTATGCAAATATCAGATGTTTGTTCATGAGGGATAATGCATCAGTGCTTTGTGTGTGATGTCAAGCGTATAAGTCTTTTTAGTTGTTTAGTTCAATGTTCTTTCTCAGGTAGAGGACCTACAATAATGTACAGTATTTGAAAAATAATGTGTTTTTTGAACATTAAAGCATGTCAACATATTCTGTTACACCAAATACACAAAATAATGATCTTTAAAATAGCATCATATGACCCCTTTAATTTACATTGTAACATTAATTAATTTACTCTAGCATAGTAAATATCAGTAAAGCAATGCTGCAATAAACTATTTCTATTTTCTATGTCTACACGTACGAAAGAAACCCGTTCAAAATTGCCACGTTAACGCAGACAAACAACATGTGTTGACATGGTCAAATTTCAGAACTTTTGGCCCCATCCGCCTTCCATATGTTGCACATTTATTCCACACAATGACAAGGATGGAGGATTAATTGACGAGAGATTAATTAGAGAATTAAAGGCCAGAGAAATCACTAATGAATTGAAATCGGAACATTTAGCCATCACAGTAGGAGTCGTTATATATGGGTCATCATTATTATTCTGCTTGTATGGCCATGTGTTATGAAAATGATGAGAAATTCCAATAAAGCTAAATTTATGATGTATTGATGGTTTGATAAATTATTTGCTCATATCTTTAATAAGCTTGCTAATATTACAGGGGTCTGTCCCCTTAAAAACAGCCTCAGCATATCTCCAGAGTGAAGCCATGAATCATAAATGACTCAAAGCGGCCATTGTTAACATTAATTCAAGGCTTCACTCTCTGTCCATTTGTCTCTCAAGCAAATGCACTTCATGAACTTCCTCTTTTACACATACACACTGTGCTAATGCTATTTCGGGTGAGAAACTGAAACCACCCCTAGACAGCTAGACAAATGCAAATGCACATTTTACACCTTACAATCAACAAATATATTTCTTTCCTATCCATATAAGGTATCATATAACTCCTGAAAACTTTGAATGGGTGTCTGAGACATCCGGGCTGATGTTGTTTGTATAAATATGACTTCCTGAATAAAGTTGAGAATGCTTTAGTAGTGCACCAACTCTCTGCTCATTCATTCTCACAGGTCTGCGCGGCAATGGAATGGAATGGATTGATGATAGGGATAAATAACATAAGATAAACTTCCAAAGAATTCATCTAACACTAAGATTATTGGACTATGTCGATTTCAGTTTTTCTACTTCAAAATTTCATTCATGTGTCTTTGTAATTATTTGTGAAATTTACTAGCAATTTCTGGGTGAAAATAATTTTTACACCAATTCTTTTCAGTGTATTTTTGAAGACCATTTAATGAAGAGGTCTAAATTGGTTTTGAGTACATTAAAGGACCAACATCGGATCATTTCTGTTCAATGCACATGAAATTAATTCTTTACTAAAAAGACAAAGTCTATGTATGATTAAAACCACCTGTGGGCCTAATCGGGTGTCACATTTCCCATCTTAACAATGTGTCCCGGGTTGAAATAACGGTACAGTGCTCAGCACTGAGTGCTGTCATAGTGATAATGGACAGTGAGCTGCAGGCTGACTGGATCGGGTCGCAATGCTTGTGCTTATCTGTGCGTAAGAGGAGCTCAGCGCTGTGCTGATAACGCAGGTTTAGCATAAAAAAACAAGAGTGTCAGGCCGTGATAAAAAGAACCAGTTACTGTGTGCCGAACAACACCAGTGCAGTTTGCACACTAAAAACTCTTACAACTGAGCACCTGTTGACTGCACTTCACATAATGAACATGCATCCGTGTTTTAGACCCATTAAAAATCATATTATTTCCTATTCAAGCCTCAAGGTCGGGCTGCATGTAATGATGTACGTTAAGAGTGAAGACTGAGTACTTCAAACAGTCACGACTGCATGTTCTCACTCAGGCTCCTCCCAGTAAACAACACTTTTTGCCGCTCCACCTCCAAAGAGTAAACACACTGTCTGAACACACTATCAGCTTATCGGATGAGATGCACGTAACTGTCCATGGTGTCCGCAAAACAATTTTTTGGTCGAAAAACCCACCTGGAAAGGAGGAGAGACCTTTTGGGACTGTTACGCAGAACAGTGATGCATTTGTAATGTAAATGGATGACAAAAATGAGGAGTGACAGATTGAAAATTGTTTTCATGTTGTGTCTTGCTTTCATCACTACAGGAGGACAGCATTTTGAAAGTAAAGGTAAGAAAAGCGACTCTTTCTTTCAGATGTCTTTTAATTGTTTTCATTATGAAGTTACATGCATGTTTCCTGACTTTCTAGATTTAAAACAAAAAATGTGGAGGTATAATTAAAAACAGTATATACAATATACCTTTTTTAATCAATATACCGTCTCTGATGCTCACCAAGGCTGCAATATATGTGACCCTGGACCACAAAACCAGTCTTAAGTCGCTGGGGTATATTTGTAGCAATAGCCAAAAATACATTGTATGGGTCAAAATTATTGATTTTTGCCAAAAATCATTAGGATATTAAGTAAAGATCATGTTCCATGAAGATATTTTGTAAATGTCCTACTGTA